GGTGGTGTCACGTGTTGAATCACCTCAGGAAAATGGCTAGAAAATCTTTTAATAAGACGAGAATCACAAAACTCAAAGAGGACTGGAATACTTACAAATCTCACCTCAGAGAATACAAAAAATCATCAGACAAAAACAGATAGATGCATGGAGATCCTACTGCGAAGAAATCAAAGATTTTCAGCAGGCAGCATAGGCTTCAAAAAGCTCACTCAACAGATCCACACGAAGCATTGGTGCGCTATTCAAAGAGGATGGCACGAAAACAGCCAACCTCGAAGATAGAATCAAACTTCTGCTGTCAACACACTTCCTTGATTCAGTCATCACAGACGTGGCCGACTGGGCAGAGAAAGAATACAATCCATCTGTCTATGATTAGTCTGCCAATCATATACAGATGGATCGTCAAATTTACGAAATCTTTTACTCTCTTGAAAAACTAAGGCATAATCCAGTAATACCTACGCTTATTCCGTGAATATAATAGCCTGTCGTGTTCCAATAGTCCAATTAAATAGACCTTTAAATCAAAATTTTGAAGGAAATACAGGAATTTTTGATATAAGTCACTTTAGAGTATTTGAAAACGATATGAAGAAAATGTGTTTTTCAGACACCGGCAAATGTCAAAAATCAAGAAAATAAAGTGTTTTTTAGGGTTATTTAAAAACGGTAGGTGCTATAAAAAAAGATCTTAATAAAAATTGTAAAGCATAAGGTTTTACATAAAAATTATTTTTGACATTTTTTGGTATTATTAAAACTGACAGAGTTAGGGTGGTTAGAAATTAAGAGGAGATATATATGACTTGGAAAAATCATAGCGAGTTGAAAATTCAATGATTTTATAGTTTCTTTTTATTACTTACTCAGGAAATAATAAATTTCTTTTCAGAAAAATATTTTTTTTTGTTTTTTAACTTATAACAATTTTAATTTTAAAATTTTCAATATATTATACGAATTTATATGATAAAATAAAATATGAGAAGTGAACTAATAAAAACGACATCCCGACAGTTTGGTCCCCACTTGAAGTTCCATTAAATAAATAAAAATAAAAACAAATAAAAAAGAACTAAATAAAATTATTAAAAAAAAAATAAAAATTAGAATAAAAATAAATAAAAAAAAAAAGTAAAAAAAAATAAATAAAAATAATTAAAAATAAAAATGATTATAATTAAAAAAAAAAATAAATAAACACAAATAAAAATAAATAAAAATAATTAAAAATAAAAACTTATTAAATAAATAAACAAATAAATATAAAAAAATTAAAATAAAAAATAATTAAAAAAATAAACAAAATTTAAATAAGTAAAAATAATAACTAATAGTTAAAAAAATTAAATAAAAATAGGTAAATTATTAAAAATAAGAAATAATAAAAAATAAATAAACATAAACAAAAATAAATGAAAAGATAAGTGTAAAAGAAAATAAATATAAATAATTAAAAATAAATACAAATAAATAAAAATAATATTTTTTATTTTTATTCATTTTTATTTATTTCTTTTTATTTTTTATATATTTATTATTTTTATTTATTTTCTTATACATTTATCTTTTCATTTATTTTTATTTATTTTTGTTTAATTTTATTTATTTTTTATTTTTAATAATTTACCTAACTTTATTAAATTTTTTTGACTATTTGTTATTATTTTCATTTTTTATTTATTTAGTTTTTTAGTTTTAATTATTTTTATTTATTTTTATTTATTTTTATTTATTTTTATTTATTTTTATTTATTTTTATTAACTTTTATTTATTTTAATTTATTTTAATTTATTTTTATTTATTTTTATTTATTTTTATTTATTTTTATTTATTTTTATTTATTTTTATTTATTTTTATTTATTTTTATTTATTTTTATTTATTTTTATTTATTTTTATTTATTTTTATTTATTTTTATTTATTTTTATTTATTTTTATTTATTTTTATTTATTTTTATTTATTTTTATTTATTTTTATTTATTTTTATTTATTTTTATTTATTTTTATTTATTTTTATTTATTTTTATTTATTTTTATTTATTTTTATTTATTTTTATTTATTTTTATTTATTTTTATTTATTTTTATTTATTTTTATTTATTTTTATTTATTTTTATTTATTTTTATTTATTTTTATTTATTTTTATTTATTTTTATTTATTTTTATTTATTTTTATTTATTTTTATTTATTTTTATTTATTTTTATTTATTTTTATTTATTTTTATTTATTTTTATTTATTTTTATTTATTTTTATTTATTTTTATTTATTTTTATTTATTTTTATTTATTTTTATTTATTTTTATTTATTTTTATTTATTTTTATTTATTTTTATTTATTCTTATTTATTCTTATTTATTTTTATTTATTTTTATTTATTTTTATTTATTTTTATTTATTTTTATTTATTTTTATTTATTTTTATTTATTTTTATTTATTTTTATTTATTTTTATTTATTTTTATTTATTTTTATTTATTTTTATTTATTTTTATTTATTTTTATTTATTTTTATTTATTTTTATTTATTTTTATTTATTTTTATTTATTTTTATTTATTTTTATTTATTTTTATTTATTTTTATTTATTTTTATTTATTTTTATTTATTTTTATTTATTTTTATTTATTTTTATTTATTTTTATTTATTTTTATTTATTTTTATTTATTTTTATTTATTTTTATTTATTTTTATTTATTTTTATTTATTTTTATTTATTTTTATTTATTTTTATTTATTTTTATTTATTTTTATTTATTTTTATTTATTTTTATTTATTTTTATTTATTTTTATTTATTTTTATTTATTTTTATTTATTTTTATTTATTTTTATTTATTTTTATTTATTTTTATTTATTTTTATTTATTTTTATTTATTTTTATTTATTTTTATTTATTTTTATTTATTTTTATTTATTTTTATTTATTTTTATTTATTTTTATTTATTTTTATTTATTTTTATTTATTTTTATTTATTTTTATTTATTTTTATTTATTTTTATTTATTTTTATTTATTTTTATTTATTTTTATTTATTTTTATTTATTTTTATTTATTTTTATTTATTTTTATTTATTTTTATTTATTTTTATTTATTTTTATTTATTTTTATTTATTTTTATTTATTTTTATTTATTTTTATTTATTTTTATTTATTTTTATTTATTTTTATTTATTTTTATTTATTTTTATTTATTTTTATTTATTTTTATTTATTTTTATTTATTTTTATTTATTTTTATTTATTTTTATTTATTTTTATTTATTTTTATTTATGTTTATTTATTTTTATTTATTTTTATTTATTTTTATTTATTTTTATTTATTTTTATTTATTTTTATTTATTTTTATTTATTTTTATTTATTTTTATTTATTTTTATTTAGTTTTATTTATTTTTATTTATTTTTATTTATTTTTATTTATTTTTATTTATTTTTATTTATTTTTATTTATTTTTATTTATTTTTATTTATTTTTATTTATTTTTATTTATTTTTATTTATTTTTATTTATTTTTATTTATTTTTATTTATTTTTATTTATTTTTATTGATTTTTATTGATTTTTATTGATTTTTATTTATTTTTATTTATTTTTATTTATTTTTATTTATTTTTGTATATTTTTTTTATTAATTTTTTATTATCTTTATTTTTATTTTTATTTATTTAATGGAACTTCAAATGGGGACCAAACTGTCGGGATGTCATTTTTATTAGTTCACTCCTCATATTTTTTATGTCAGACAAGCTAATAAGCATATAAATTCGTACAATATATTGACAATTTCTAGATTAAAATGGTCATAACTTAAAAAAAAAAATAAATTTTTTCTTAGAAGAAATTTATAATTTTCTGAGTAAATAATAAAAAGAAACTATAAAATCATTGAATTTTCAGCTCGCTATGATTTTTCCAACTCATAGATATCTCCTCTTAATTTCTAACCACCCTAACTCTGTCAGTTTTAATAATAGCAAAAAATGTCATGTACTATTTTTATGTAGAACTTTATCCTTTACAAATTTTATTAAAAACTTTTTTTTATAGCACCTACCGTTCTTAAATAACCTTAAAAAAACATTTTATTTTCTTGTTTTTTGACATTTGCCGGTGTCTGAAAAACAAAATTTTTTTACATATCGTTTTCAAATACTCTAAAGTGACTTATATCAAAAATTCCTGTATTTCCTTCAAAATTTTGATTTAAAGGTCTATTTGATTGGACTACAATGATACATTTTTCAATTCAATGTTTAGTAGAAAATTACAAAATTAGAAGAAAAGTTTGTGTACTATTTTTTAAATTATTTAAACTTACTAGTGTAATTTGATTATTTTTTATGTAATGAATTTTCCGTTAATATAGTTTATTATTTACTTATCTTATTTATTATGTCATTGTGCAGTAATGTAAAACTTTTTCGTTTTGTTTATTTATTAAATATTAATTGGTAATATATTCGGTTTATTAGTTTGGTAAACAAGCTTGATAACAGAAAAATTACAATGCGAATAAAACAAAACCATTGTTAATTTTACTGTACCTACCTATACCTATAAACAATATTAACAGTGTAATCATTTGAAACCTATTTTTTCCGAAATATCGTTTATTACATTTGAATAAAAAATAGCAGGTTTTAAGTAAAATAAAATTTTGTTTGAGCATTTTTCTTTAAATTTTTCCTTGACAAAATATTTAACAAGCAACCATTTGGATTCTGATGAAGAAAACTATTTGATACACCTATGAAAAAACAATTGTCATACGTTTATATATATTGGCTTAAAACAAAGCTTATATCAAAGAGCGCCCGTTACTTATCTATATTTCATTTGTTTATCTGAGGTTCTTTTATATTTTTCAAGTGTTTCTCTCTAATACCGGATGTAAAATTTTTAGTCATTCCATTTAAATTACAAGGGCTGCTATAATAAGTTACCTTATCGAAGGGCGGAAAATAAATATTAATCTCACCTTATCCAGAAGAGTCTCGGGATATCCAGGAGAATAATATCGAACAATTTCCTCTGGGAAACATGAATTTATTATGCTGATATATTCGAAGAGAGCTGTTCCAGGTTTGACGTCAATCATTTGAACTTTTTTCAATCCTCCGGTCGTTACGAATAGTCTTCTGGCTTTTGAATCTTGAGGCAGTACCTTTAATATAAAGACAAAAGTTAACTATTTATAAAACCTAATATATTTGTCTTATTTAAACAGTCTGATAATATTACAATTTTAGTAGGTAAATAGAGGAGAATCGCCTAAAATCGGATACTTTTTTAAACTGTTAAATTATATTTAAAAAAAAAACATCCCTACATTTGCGCTAGTTTAATGGAGTTATAGCATAATTATATATTATCAGTTAAGATAGTCGGCAAAAGAATAAAAAATTGTTTCATAAAGTAATTAAATATTTTTGAAAAATTGCTGATTTTGTCAATTTAGAAAATAGTAGCCTAATATTGCATAGGGTATCCAATTTTAGGAAACCATTTTTTTATTCAAAAACTATTGATAATTTTAAAACTTTATTGAGGAAAATACAAAACAAATAAAAAATTCCACTTTACAGCTTAAAAAGGGCAAATTATCCATCCATACAAAAGTCACAGATGTAATTTTTTTGCCTTCAGCACCAGCACATGCTTCATGAAACCACCTGTAACACTTGCAACAGTTTACCCATTTTTCTCCTGCTTTATCTGAAGAAAATGATTCCAAGCAGAAAGGACAATCGACATCTTCTTCTTCTGGATCCATATCATCTTCCGAATCCACATATTGAACTTCCTCTTCTGAGGAATCGGAGGAAACAACTTTCTGCTTCTTATTTTTTTCAGATGATTTTGATTAAAAGTTCAAATTCTTCTTAAACTTTTCCGTTGTTTTTGGACTTTGTGGTTCCTTAAAAGCTGGCTAACTAAGGCGGCGGCACCAGAGTTTTTCCGTTTTACTCCTGAAGGACCAGGTAATACCGGCAATGGATGTATGTCAGCTGGTTTAAAATTACATTATTTGCTTTTCTCTATTAGCAATAGGAACCGAAGGTTCTCTATTAATGGAAATTTCCATTGATGCAGTTCTTGAATATGCTTTTTCTAACAAACCTACAATCTAGTAGGGTGAAACTGTTCTTCCTGGGTTAGCTTTCAACCAGTTTTCTATTTCTTGATAATAATTCGTTTTAAAAGGTCCCATAAATGCCACATCCAATGGTTGAACCTTGTGGGTCGAATGTGGAGGTAGGCATATCAGTATTATGTGATTTTTTCGAGCCTTGTTAATTACATTCAAATTTCACGTGTGTGTATAGTGCCCATTATTAAAATAACAGGATCATCGTGGGATGGCTTGGCATGCGTAATAAAATGATCCATCCGTTGCGTAAATAAATATGACTAAATCCAGCCAGAAGGATGACATTTTCCAATTGATCCTGAAGGCGCTCCATCCATAAGGTCTACTTTAAAATTCTTCCGTGGGAAAATCATAATTGGGGGTATAAAATGTCCATTAGCATTCATGCAGAAAACAATAGTGTAAATCCTCTGATTCTAGCTGCGGATACACCTTGAGGAATTCTAACAGAAATATTTTTGTTTCGTCTCAAAAAATTCCTTAGCCATTTTCTCCCAGCGGTAGATTTTGTTTTTGAAAATGGATGTGGAAAATTATTAGCTAGAGCCAACTGATAATCCAAACGACGAATGTCGGACGATGTTAAATCATAGAACCTTTTCTCTAATTCCAGACATTCAATTCAATTCAATTCAATTCAATACTTCTGGTAGTAGTGGCTTACGACCAAGAGTCGATTTTTCTAAATGTTCTAGGGGATTTTAAAATTTTACTTTACACATTAGTGAACAAAATAAATTTTTATGCACTCCATGGTGTGCTTTACGCACAGTAGTAGAAAAATAAATTATTACGACACGCAACAGATCTTTAAATTTAAAAAATATTTATTTTTATTTTAAATTTTAAAGTAGCTTAATTTTATCAGAAAGCTTTAAAGAATTAATATACAATAATTTAACACTGATACGCTCAAGAAATTAAAATTTTCAATAAATAAGTGAGTTTCCATTTAAAAATTAAAAATAAATTGCGATTTACTGTTATTTTCGAAAAACCGGAAAAAAGTCATAACGTCACAGACCAATTGAATGAAGTTTTTGACAGTATTTATTCCAAGCTTTCAAACAAAAAAAGTTGTCATTCCGATATCTCAATTAATAGGGAAGATAAGAGCGGGTGGAATTATTAAACGGTTTGCTAATAATAAAAATGCTTAGATACGCCACTGGTGTACTGTAAATGAGTCTCAATAGGAATTTTGAAGCTTACAATGATTTTATAAAGATCATACATTCCCATATTTTTTTAATAGTATCTAACATGTTTAAAACAAATATTATCCAAAATGGCGGCCATTTTGACAGCTGACAGAAAATTTTTAATATACGCTTTTTATCCAAAAATGTCCCAGTAGTTCAAATTTTAAATAAAAGAGGGGTTTTGATTTTAAATTAAAAAATAAATGGCGATTTTCAGTTATATCCGGAAAAATCGGAAGTAAGCCATGACGTCACAGACTAATTGGATTCAGTATATAAAAGTATCTATTATAAGCTTTAAAACAAAAAAGTTTTTATTCCGATATCTTAATTAACAACGAAGATAAAAGAGGATGGAATTATTAAACGGTTTCCTAATAATAAAAATGCTTAGATACGCCACTGGTATACGGTTAATGGGTCTCAATGGGAATTTTGAAGCCCTAAAAGATTTTATAAAGATCTTACAATCCCATATTTTTTTCCATAAACGAATTAATAGTAACATGTTAAGAAAAAATATTATCCAATATGGCGGCCATTTTGACAGCTGCCAGAAAAAAATTCAATGTACGATTATTATACAAAAATGTCCCAGAAATTCAAATTTTCAATAAAAAAAGTGGGTTTCAATTTAAAAATAAAAAATAAATTGCGATTTTCTGTTACTTCCGGAAAAACCGGATGTAAGCCGTGACGTCACAGAATAATTGAATCCTTCATAAGAAAGTATTTGTTCCACTCTTTCAAACAAAATAAACAATTTTCCGATATCTCAATGAATAACGAGAATAAGGGGGGGTGGAACTTTTAAGTGGCCCACCCTGTATGTGCTTCCATCTATTATAACCAGGAGCTGCGTTATACCTTATAACCCCTCCAATAAGTTTGCAGGGTTATATAATAGACTATGTTGTCATCAAAGACATTAAAAGGAAATGTGTATGTCTGAAAATTATTTGATCCCTATATTAAGTGCTGAATTATCAGTTAAAAGGTAAACTTTTTAAATATTTACAAATGGGATGGATAGTGCATGTTATAGAGTACTTTTTACTAGAGTTTTCATTAATAAAATCTTATTTTTTTGTCTAAAATAATTATAACCTAAAAATTTTATGATGTGCCTAATATTGGATAGCTACAGATTCCCAATATTGGATATCCAATATTTGGCAATGCTTTGAAGTCAACTGCAATAATATATTGTTTACAGAAATGGCTACTAAGAAAAGAAAGCAATGGGATGAAGCAAATATGACTAGTGCTATTCAAACAGTAATAAATAAAGAGCTGGGATATTTGAAAGCTGCCAAGTCGTGCAATGTTCTGAAATCTACCTTGGAGTATTACTGTAAATTTGAAAATCCCCTAGAACATTTAGAAAAATCGACTCTTGGTCGTAAGCCACTACTACCAGAAGTATTGAAAAAGAGTTGGCAATACATTGTCTGGAATTAGAGAAAAGGTTCTATGATTTAACATCGTCCGACATTCGTCGTTTGGATTATCAGTTGGCTCTGGCTAATAATTTTCCACATCCATTTTCAAAAACAAAAGCTACCGCTGGGAGAAAATGGCTAAGGAATTTTTTGAGACGAAACAAAAATATTTCTGTTAGAATTCCTCAAGGTGTATCCGCAGCTAGAATCAGAGGATTTACACTATTGTTTTCTGCATGAATGCTAATGGACATTTTATACCCCCAATTATGATTTTCCCACGGAAGAATTTTAAAGTAGACCTTATGGATGGAGCGCCTTCAGGATCAATTGGAAAATGTCATCCTTCTGGCTGGATTTAGTCATATTTATTTACGCAACGGATGGATCATTTTATTACGCATGCCAAGCCATCCCACGATGATCCTGTTATTTTAATAATGGGCACTATACACACACGTGAAATTTGAATGTAATTAACAAGGCTCGAAAAAATCACATAATACTGATATGCCTACCTCCACATTCGACCCACAAGGTTCAACCATTGGATGTGGCATTTATGGGACCTTTTAAAACGTATTATTATCAAGAAATAGAAAACTGGTTGAAAGCTAACCCAGGAAGAACAGTTTCACCCTACTAGATTGTAGGTTTGTTAGAAAAAGCATATTCAAGAACTGCATCAATGGAAATTTCCATTAATAGAGAACCTTCGGTTCCTATTGCTAATAGAGAAAAGCAAATAATGTAATTTTAAACCAGCTGACATACATCCATTGCCGGTATTACCTGGTCCTTCAGGAGTAAAACGGAAAAACTCTGGTGCCGCCGCCTTAGTTAGCCAGCTTTTAAGGAACCACAAAGTCCAAAAACAACGGAAAAGTTTAAGAAGAATTTGAACTTTTAATCAAAATCATCTGAAAAAAATAAGAAGCAGAAAGTTGTTTCCTCCGATTCCTCAGAATCAGAAGAGGAAGTCCAATATGTGGATTCGGAAGATGATATGGATCCAGAAGAAGAAGATGTCGATTGTCCTTTCTGCTTGGAATCATTTTCTTCAGATAAAGCAGGAGAAAAATGGGTAAACTGTTGCAAGTGTTACAGGTGGTTTCATGAAGCATGTGCTGGTGCTGAAGGCAAAAAAAATTACATCTGTGACTTTTGTATGGATGGATAATTTGCCCTTTTTAAGCTGTAAAGTGGAATTTTTTATTTGTTTTGTATTTTCCTCAATTATTGTATATTAATTCTTTAAAGCTTTCTGATAAAATTAAGCTACTTTAAAATTTAAAATAAAAATAAATATTTTTTAAATTTAAAGATCTGTTGCGTGTCGTAATAATTTATTTTTCTACTACTGTGCGTA